CCCCGGAGGAACATGTAGACTCCGAGTCACTTTAGTCTCCGGTGTTTGGGCCGAGCTTTTTTTTTTAGACACCCCCCAGCCAGCGGACTCGACATCAGCCTTGCCCCCGGCGCGGTGTCTCCCGGACGCCTGCCAGTCGGTTTCAGGTCGCCGGTCTTAGCCCGGCCATGCTGCACCCGCGGCAGGGGGGCCGCTTTCTCGCGTGGCCAGCCCCACCGGACGGTTGATTTTTCAGGACCCACCCCCACGACAGTCATGCTCTCTCGTTCCGCGCCTCCGTGGGGGCGTGGGGGTGCCATGCGGCCAAAGAGAAACATCTTCGGCGATTATTTCCCCCCCCCCCCCGGACTTGTTGGTTGGGTCTGTCGGGGCCCTCTAGTCGTGGCTGGTTCTCCCCCCTCGGGGCGATCTTACACTTGGACCGCCAAGAGGCGGGGCACCCCGACCCACGCCGGCCGCGCTCGCCCTGTTGGGATACGCTCACCCAGCCATACGCACCGGCCAAAGAGGATGGGGGTGCCCGGGCCCCACTGCCTCCCTCTTCCTCCCTCTTCCTCCCTCTTCCTCCCTCCCCCTGGCCCTCCTGTGCGGCCTTTGCTCCCTATAAAAGGGCTCGCCCCCGGGTGCACGGTCAGGGGCCATTTTGCGAACACGACACCCCGCCGGCCACGCCCCCTCCTTTCCACACTGTGCACCCTTGTGTCTCTCCCGAGGACGCCTCTGCCCCCCCGCCCCCTCCTGCGGTCATCCATATACGAGCCATCACTCGCTCGCACCTTGTTGGCCCCCACCTACACAGCACCCTCCCACACCCACACACGCGCGCGCACAAGTGTCATGGTCATTGCCGATACCATGAGCCAAACGAATGACTTCCACCAGGTGAGCATATCTGTCCATGCCCCTTCTCGCCTCCTCCCCCGCTCGGCCCTCTGCCTCGCCATTCGTTCTAATGGGTTTTCATCTCCCTCCCTCTGCCTCGTCCCCCCCCCCCTGTGTTTGACAGTTCTCCATCGACATGAAGGATGGCATGTCGGCCCCGGAGCTCATGGCCCAGGGCGGCCTCACTTACAATGACTTCCTGGTTTTGCCGGGGTTCATCGACTTCGCCGCGCCCGAGGTGGACATCTCCTCGCGCTTGACTCGCAACATCACCCTCAAGTCGCCGTTCGTCTCCTCGCCGATGGACACCGTCACCGGTACGCACGGCAGCATCCGCCCCTCTGCCCACCCATCTCCCGAAGGATCTGACCGGTGCTTCGCCCTTCCCTCCCCCGCCCCCCCGCCCGTGGTCGGGCTCAGGCGGCAAGATGGCCATCGCCCTGGCCCTGGCTGGCGGCATCGGCATCATTCACCACAACTGCTCCATCGACGAGCAGGTGGCCATGCTCGAGGAGGTGGCCCGGTACATTTGGGGCGCGGAGATTGCCCCGGTGGTGGCCTACCCCGGCATGACGGCCGGCGAGCTGCGCCTCGGCAACCCGGAGCACACCCAGTACTCGTGGATCCCGGTGACCCCCACCGGCGAGGTGGACGCCCCGCTGGTGGGCATCCTCCCGGCCAAGGCCCTGGCTAGCCTGGCCGAGGATGCCCCGATCGATGGCATCCTCGAGCCTGTCCCGGCCGAGCTGGCCCTGGCCGAAGAGGCCCTCGGGTCGGATCACCTGGGCCTCTTCCTCCAGCGGGAGTCGGTCGCCGCCCAGGGCGCCACGCACCTGTTTGTCCTCGGCCCGGGGAACACCCTGCGGGCGGCCCTCTCGCGGGCACTCCTCCAGCGCCTGGCCACCCTCCACCCGGAGGGCCAGCCGGCCGCCGGGCAGCGTCTGCTGGTGGGGGCCTCGATCAGCACTCGCGAGCTGGACTGGCAGCGCTTTGTCGCCATTGCCCCGCTCATCCGGGTGGTGGTCATCGACTCGTCGCAGGGGAACTCCACCTGGCAGGTGGACCTCATCCGCCGGATCAAGGCCGCCTATCCCGGCGGCCAGGTGGATGTCATCGCCGGGAATGTGGTCACTCGCGGCCAGTGCCAGGCCCTGATCGCGGCCGGGGCGGATGCCCTGCGCGTGGGCATGGGGTCCGGCTCGATCTGCATCACCCAGGAGGTCCTGGCATGCGGCCGGCCCCAGGGCTCGGCGGTGTTCCACTGCGCCCACGCCGGGCACCTGAATGGCCGGGTGCCGGTCATCGCCGATGGCGGCATCTCCAACCTCGGGCACATTGCCAAGGCCCTGGCCCTGGGCGCGTCGTCGGCCATGATGGGGTCCTTCCTGGCCGGGACCACCGAGGCCCCGGGGCGGTTCTTCTTCACCCCGGAGGGCGTCCGTGTCAAGACCTATCGCGGCATGGGCTCGCTCGAGGCCATGGAGGCCAACTCCAATGCCAAGAGCCGGTACTTCTCGGATGCCGCCGACAAGTCCGGCGGCGCGACCCCTGTGCTGGTGGATGCGCTTGATGATGACGCTGCTGCCGCTGCCGCTGCCGCTGCCGCTGCCGCTGCCGCTGCCGCTGCCGCTGCCGCCGCCCCCAAGCGCACCCTCGTGGCTCAGGGTGTCTCTGGGGCCCTCAAGGACAAGGGGTCGGTCCTGGACCTGCTCTTCTACCTGCGCGATGGGCTGCAGCACTCCTTCCAGGACTTTGGCGTTCGCAGCACCGAGCAGCTCCACGAGAAGCTCTACTCGTGCGATCTGCGCTTCGAGCGCCGGACCGGTGCGGCCATCTACGAGGGCGGTGTCCACGGTCTGCACTCCTACGAGAAGCGTCTTTTCAAGTGATCACCCTCGGCCCGAAGAGGACGCCAGGCCAGGAGAGGTGAGAGGTGGTGGCCACAGGATCCCTTTCTGCCCCTGTTCGCCCCCCTCGCGCGCCGCGCGTGTGCACCCCCCCCTCACCCTCGCTCTCACTCTCCCCCTCTTTTGAGGGAGCTTCGAGAGGGGGGGAGGGGGGGACCCGCGACAGGACGTGCATCCACGGGGATTTCCGAGGGGGCCGGGCCGGTCCCAGCCCTCCTCCAGTAGATTTCGCTCCCCCCCCCCCCTCTGCCGGGTTATTTGCTGTCCCTCGCTTCCTGGTGGGCATTCGCCGAAGTACACCCCAAAGAATAATAAACCACACAATATCCGACCCGCAGCAGTTTGCCCGGCTCGCGGGGAGGAGACAGCCGAGGAGAGGGGGCCCCAGGGGGGGGGGGGGATATTCAAGACCTGACCCCGGCGTCTTTCCGAGCGCCGCATGACACTATGGACGGTGTGCGCCTGGTCGGGCAGGGCCGGACGATTCGATCCGGCAGGGCCAGCCGTGGATCCAGTTGGGGGTGGTATCCATGGCCCTATGGGCTCCTTATCGCTGGGCTTCATCAGTGCGTGTAGAAGGCGGCGGGTGCCCGCCGGGGCGACCTCATTTGCCGCTCCGAACGCCCGAGCCCTGGCCAGCAGATCTTGTGGGAAGATCGGCGACTGCTGGCTCGAGGTGCCAGTCGTTTGTGCGCGGTCTGTGCGTGGATAAGGCCCACCCGTCATGCTGCCCCCCTTGATGGCGTACTCCGGAACTTCCGGGGCCCCATTGGGGGTGGGAGAGGGGTGGCGGCCTGCCAGGCGGGCCATGGCGGTGAAGCCGACGCCATCCCCATGGATGGGGTCCAGTTGATGGACGCGCTCGAGACCCAGACGGCTGTCCTCCTTGGCTGTCTCAAGATGGGAGTGCGGCCGCGCCCTTTGTCCAGCCGGCTCAAGGAACCGACAGCCATGAAGCGGGTCGGCTTCCGGGCGAGGAGAAGCGCAACCGGAGGGTCTTGCTGATGCTCGGGAGAGGGGCTTGCCCGGCCCTGCGACCTCAGCAAGGTGCCGAGCTTCGAGGGAGGGCGGAGTCTGCCGATGCGCTCGTAGGTCCGGGAGATGGCCTTCGTGGGCGCTTTTTTCTTTCGGTGCAAGCCGGCGACCAAGTGGAGGCGGAGGCGGTGTGGGGTCCCATCCGGCCAGGCGGGATCCCCCGTGGTGCCCTTGCGCCCGCCGGCGAACAGGGCGGCTTTTTGCCTGGCAGATCACAGATTGGCAGGCAGGCAGGCAGCCGGGGCTGACACGCCCGCCTGCGTGCACGAGCGCCGCCCGCCTGGCTGGGCAAACGGTGGTGCGGGGACCGCGGTCGATCTGCCCGCCTCGGGAACTCCGCCCCCGAGAGGCCCCCACGGCCGAGGCCATGTTCCCCAGGCATGGGGACCAGACGACGTGCAGTCGACAGGGGCAGGGCGGCCGCGCCGGGGGGGGACAGGGACTTTCGCCAGGGCGGCCGGCAAGCGCGAGATTGCCTGCCGGTGTTTGCGGGCCTTCGTGGGCCTTTCCCCCGGGGATCCTGGAGGGACCCAGAAGAGGGAGGCGATCGGCCGGAGCAGCAGGCTTGTATCGCGTGCTCAGACGCCTCCGAGGGCCCCGCAGCATCCGCCGAAAAGGAGCCCGGCGCGCTGCCGCCACCCGGCACACGAGGCCGCCCTCTGGGCTTGGGGATGCCCCCGCCCATGCGGCCGGCGGGGCGACGCGCCCGGTTCCGGGGGCTCGGGCCGTCCCCAGGCGCCTCGGGATCAACCCGGCCCCATCACATGCCCGACCGCCCCCGCGAAGGCCGTTCGTTGGCTTATCGGCCTCTCCATCGGGGCCAACACCTGGGAGGCCGCTCATGCGGCGGCACTCCTCCCACCGGCGATAACCCTCTTTAGGGTTTGTCTGCCGGGGCCGGGCGCTGGCTGATTTCCCTGGACGAAGGGGCGGGGGGACGCCATGAGTCCGGACGAATGTAATGCCAACGGAGCCTTGGTCCTGGCCCGGGCCGGCTCCCCCTTCCGTCTGTGCCGGCGCCTCCCGCCC